CATTTGTCCACTTCTTATGATGTTGGTTCTTCTCTGATGGAATCTGACGTTGGAATTTGCTTCAATAACAAGTACTATTTTTCTTTGTCAGATGGAATCAGATGACTTCTTGATCCAATGGGTGGACATGCGCGGGAGGCTTGTAGCTCGTTTCATTTGTCTTGTTGCATGTGCTTGTGCAATCCTAATGTCATACGATACTAGGAAAGTGAATTATAGTATGAACTGAAAGAGAGAAAGTTTGTAAAGTAATAACGAGTCAAAATAACTATTAGTGATTTATAATGGACGAGATGTTGCTAGAATAGGCTTTCAAGCTTTTTTAAAACTTTGTAGTACGCTAGAAAAAGATGGTCTTACGACTAACACGATAGGCAAATACAAAAGAATAAGTTACCAAAACTCTTTTCATATTAACCCATAAAACAAAAACTTGTGCGGCAAATTTTTTCTTTTGACGCTCTGGTGAAACGATTAGTAGTAATTTTCATAGAGCGTTGAGAGCTATATTTGAATTAGAAGATAAGTTAACTGTCCAATTTGATGGCTGCATAATCCCTCTCAAAAATAATACTCTTTCAGTCTTAAATTATAAAACACTTCAAAAAAAATTAAAGTTTCATTAAATAGTTTTATATATGTATATTACCCTTTCTTTTTCTTTCCATTTAATAATAATTAAGTATAGATTTAAAATTATTAAATGAAGGATATTTTAAAAGTTTATATTTTCATTTAAAAAAATGAAGTAGTTAAGTATATTTAATAAAATTTATTGATATGTAAAATTTTATCTAAAAATATATTATAATTTGAGCTGAAAGGGTGCATAGTAATGATAAATTCTACCCCTATTTTAAATATTATATTGGTATCATATATGAGACACATACATGTAACAAAATATTTCCTAAAAATGCTCATAGATATTGAGATAAGAAAGACTTCTCAACACAGAATGCATTGGCAGTATGCACATTTAATTTAAAGTTTACTCATGTGCTTACCAGATGGGAAGGCGATATAACTAACTTAAGAATTTTAGAAAATACATTAAGACGAGAAGATAAAGGTTTATCGTTCCTGAAGGTACTTCTTTTACCAATTGATAGTTCTTTGGATGAAAAGAGAAAATTATAATTGTATATTATAATTATATTTTACTCACAATACGTTTTCATTATAATTTTTTTAAATTTCATGCGTATATTTTATTAATTATTTGTAAAAGATAAAAAAATTTATAAGATAAATGTTGTAAAAATCTAAAAATTTTAGTAAAAATTAAAATTTATGACAAATTATTTTTATAAGTTTTGGGACGGATATAAAGAGAGAAACTGATGTACTATTAAGATTCTTAATAAAACATATTTTGATTATATTTTTACAATTCTAAGATCAATATAATAAAAGATGAATTTGTGATTTAGAGGGAATTGCTCTTGGCGTCTATTTTAAGCCTCGATTGGTATAACGGAATCATTTTTATGGAATAGGAATTTGAATGAAAATAGGAAGAGGAATGTGAACATGAATGAATCTTAAAAACATGCAAATAAAATGATACATAATTTTTTATTTATATATTTATAATTATAATACCAAAGTACCGAAATGTCCTTTCTCCTTCTTTGGAAAAAAATCCTTCCAGTTGCAGAAGAAGAAACCACTAGGTATAATGGAGGCAAATCTGAACCTAAATGAGAACCTTTTTGGACTTGAACTCACCAGTCACCACAAACCAAAACCCCGTCGCCTTGAATCATTCTTTGATGATCTACTCAAGCCATTGGTCACCGTAGCAAGATCGCAAGGGAAGACAAGAATAGATCTACAATCACGAAGGGAGAGAGAGAGTGCAGCTGTCTATCGCCGTAGCAAGATTGAGGTTGGATAAAGGATGCTTTACCGGCGCCAATCGAGGTACCAGAGACAAAAGAGATTGGCGGCGTCGATTAGGAGATGAGGAGGTTAAGGACGAGGAGGAGTCGAATGGCGAGGGTTGACGGAGAAGAATGTCGAACGGCAATGGAGAAGAAGGTAAGCATCGATTCATGGAAGAAGAAGAACGATGGAGAAGTTGAACAACGATGGAGAAGAAGAACGATGGCTCAGGACAGCGGAGGAACGGAAGAAGGCAGTGGCCGTTTAGTCCATGGTCCATTGGATGGTCGGTGCAAGGCCAGAAATTGGAACACATTGATTCCGCTCGTTCCTGTCCTTCGCTTCAGGGCCTGTCCCTCGGTGTGGTCAGTACTCCATACTGTCGGGCAGCGAAGCTTACACTTGTTCACTAATTATGACGATTCGCCAGGGCCTCTTTCCTCCTCCCTTTTCTGCTCACTCGTAAGGGGTCCGGACCCCTACAAAGGGGGAGGGGGAGGAAGGAAGGAGAGGAAAAAAGTCCAAGACTGAAGGGTCATTTTGTCTGAAAAAAACTAATAAGCATTAAGCAAGGGTAGTTTAATGAAAATGGATTTGGATCCTCGACGCGTCCTGTTCCCACACATCCCAGCGAAGCTCACACATCAAAGCCGTCCACATTATCCAGCGTTCTGCATCGTGCAACGTGTCCTGTGTTGCGGAAGCCAAAGGAGTTCCGCCTCCCTCCGCCTTTCCTCTTGACCTCTTCCCATATTTTAGGACCACTCGAAAGATTGGATAAGAGAAGACTTTAATTTAACCTAAAGTTTGATTTTTTTTATAAAAAAAATTAAATTAGATAATTTATAATTTGATTTAGTCTAATTATAATATAAAATTAGTTAAATTAGATTTAATTTATAAAATTAAGAGATTGGTCTCCGTAGTTTAGCATTTATTTATTTTTTTATATGAGATGTAATAATTTACTTCATCTTGATAAACTCAATTAAAATAATAAAAATACTTATAATTACAAAAAATTTATAATAATCTCTAACAACATCAATAAAAAAAACTTCAAATACAACCTGTATGATTCAAATTTATATTAGCAATAATAATATTCAACAAATTTTAGCAATATATTTAATATATATTACAATAATAATTTAATAACAAATAAAATTAAAAAATATATTAAATAGGAGGGTAAAATATAAATAAAGAAAATGATAAGTTTAAACTTTAAATTATTTAAATATATAAAAAATAATTAAATTATATTAAAATAATTTTATAAAATCAGATGATTTGAGAGTTTGGTCTTTTCCATTCGAGAAATTTGTTTGATTTTTTTTATCTTTTTAATCTTTTAGACTATTTTTTTTTTTTTACTGAATTGAAAAGGACTAAACTTGTTCAAGTTGAATTGGGTTCCACAGGACGAGTGAACTTTCGCACGGTCCCACCATATTACCTTCGCTTCGTTGAGTTTTCACGTTCCTCTGTTGTATATGTATTTTTGTTTAATGTCATCTACACTTCATCTTTCACTTTGTTCAAAGTTTATTTCAACAAACGCTCGCACCGCCATCGAAGATCCATGGTCTAAGCTGATGAATCTTGCGTACTGTTCATGGGCACTTTCACAGGAGAAAAACAGTTATGCACAGTGACGCTTCATGCTTGCGTGTATTTTTCTTTTCTTTTCTTTTCTTTCTTTCTTTGTTTTTTTTTTTTTTGACAAAGCTGTACAATCTCACTGTATTATTCATGGTGGGTTCAATGCGTTGGAGTTGTTGTAGGGAAATTTGATGATGGGTTTGAAGTTTCGTTCGAGTTTTTGTTTACAATCTCATTTGGGCGGTCTTGCTAGGACAAAACCAGCATTAATTCATGCACAAACAAAATTCGTAAGGGGAGACTAGAAGAACTGAAGGGCATTGCGTGGACCGATGAAGATGGCAGGTTGGAACCTGGAGTGGAGGCGTTTAATATGAGGAGAAGCCACAGTACCGTAATGAAGGCTTGAAAAGAGGGGAGAGGGAGGGTGGAGGAAGAAGGCAGAACTTCTTTGGTTCCCATGAGCAGGACACGTGGCAAGATGCATGACACTGGATAAAATAGACGGCTTTGATGCCCGCGCTGTGCAGGGAAAAGTAGAAACAGGACGCGTCTAGGATCCGGATCCGTCTAAAAATTTCACTCCCAAGTCCCAAGAGATAAGGTATATGAGATATTGGGCATTTTGCTCTCTTCTTTTGTACAGCAAACGGGGGTGAGCATCAATTCGTTCGGTTTGATTTTAAAATATACAAATCAATCGATTGAATAACACTGAAAATGAAAATTGAATCGAACCAAACAAACACCAAACCAAAATTTAATAATTCAGTTCGGTCGGTTAATTCGATTTTTCGGTTTTATATTTAGCTATTAAAATTAGGTCCATTTTTTAAATATTAAAACAAACAACACTATAAAATTAATTTTTTTTCTATTCATTTTTTTAATATGAGCCTATTCTAATTACACCCATATGACATAAAGCTTAAATATTATAAATGCATGGATAATCAAATAAACAATCACAAATAAACATCGATGATCAAATAATAGCTCCATAATCCAGTCACAACACTTACTGATGAGAGTGACTGATTGAAATGGGGTTTCAAGTGATGTTATTATTTTTTATTCTTTATTGAAATAAAAAATAAAAATAAAAATAAAAATAAAAATTTTATAAATTAAATATAATTTATAAATTAATAAATTATATGTAATTTGGTCAGTTCGGTCTATTTGATTTTAAATTTTATTAACTAAATTGAATCGATCAATCGAAATATTTAAAATAAAAAAACTGAATCAAACCGAAAAATTAAATAAACCAAATCAAATAAAAAAATTTAATTTAATTTAATTTAATTTTTAATTTCGATTTAATTTTGCTCACCCTTAATACTAAAATGGCAAAGACCGATTATTTCTTCCCCCATTTCTATTTTTTTATTATAGATTTTATTATATCAAATCAGCCTTTAGTCTTGAGACTTGAGTTCAAGGGTGACATTTTATTTTTGCTTTGACTTTGCGAAATCGCCAAAGTACGTACATTAAAATTAAAAATTTTATAAAACTCCTCTCAGATTTCTCCCCTTCCCTGCTTCATTCCTGTTGATTGCAAGTCTGCCGAGAGAGGGCTTCGAGAACGTTCTTCCTCCTCCTCCATCTTTCAGTTCATCGCCGGTGCGTACGTGGAAAGGGCTCAGGTCATCGTCGCCGGAGGTCTATATTCAGTGGCCTGACTCTTCTTCTTCCTCCCCTGCTCTTCCTCTGATTCGTGCGATTGCGTCTCCTTCCCGGTTCAATGTCGCCGTTGTGCTCGTGTGTGTGGCTGTGGATGCATTGATTTCTTCCTCCATTTTCGCCCAGCCAGCTTTTTCTTCCTGCTTCTGGCATCGCGGATCTGAGGTGAGGATTTTCGAGTTCTTCTTGCCGATTCCATGGGTGTGTTTAGGTGGCTGTGGTTATGATTTTCTTCCTTCCTTGCTCAGCTGCCGCTTAGGAATGGGTAGAGAGGGCGATTTGAGCAAACTGAATTTTAAAGCTTAAGCGAACGTTTCCATTCAGTAATTTTAGTTACTGTCAATGGAGATAAATGTGGATTTGGTTCTTGTTTGAGCTTAATTGGTTTGTGCTGAAAAAAATGAGATCGGGAAATCTTTCTTAAAATGAAGTATTAATAACTGAAATTGTTGGGAAAAGTTTGGGGAAAAAAGCTTGATGGTATAGTTTGAAGGTTGATGGCCACATGGTATTTGGCTAAATGTGTAGAAGAGTTGGAATGGAGTAATTAAATACATTCAAATATTCAATGTATTAAGGACTAAAGTTTAAACTTAATATTCTGTTTTGCTCTTATACTAAGTCGGGTCTTTTTATGAAATTGAATTTAGGAAAACTTGTAAAGAACGTGTTGATGTTTTGGGGTTTTATGGTTGGCAACTTATAAATTATGGTGCATGTATGACCAGATTTTAGAATGCATGTGAGTTGTTAGATGAAATGTGGGAGGGGGAGTTTTTGATTTAATTGAATAACTAAGTGCAGGCAATGAATCATTGACTTAATATAGAAGTTATTCAATTTTTATGTTTCAACTTGGGATTAAGAAGCTTGCTTATATATAGGTGTTGGAAAGTGATATGGGATCTATGAAGTTCGTTTGATTTATTTATTTATTTTGACTTGGAGCTTATTTTATTTATTTAATCATTCAAATATATTAAATAAAATGCTATGGCTTCATGTTCCGTTGCTTTGGAAAGGGTGCATATGTAAACAAAGAGTTTAGTAATGGTATTGTTTAGTTAATGTATGTGTTAGTGGATTATTATAACTTTGTGGACTAGAAAGAAATATGGTGAAATGAATGTCTTTGGAGTGAAACTAAAAGATTAATGTTCAAAAGCAAGGGGAATATACTACAATAATTAAATGCGTGAATTATTATAAGTTTTATAAAATTTTAGAGGTTCAGTTATCATTATGTTGAAATGTTTCATGAATAAACCTTGTTGTGAAGAGTGTTAAGGAGTAAATTACAGTGTTGGATTGCTTTAGGTAAGTGGATAGCAATGTGATTAACTTTTAGGTAAATTTCTTTTTATTGAACACTGTTTAAGTTTATTCACATGTATATTGATATAATTTTAATTCTAATATTGATTATTATGATTGGAACTACTCTCATTATACTAATTGGTTTTTAAAGGAAGAGCTAGAATTATCCTATCATTGCATATTCTTGTTCATTCATTATAATGATATTATGATTTTATGGCTTAATGAGTAATTAAATATTATGATTCATGCATGGAAGAATATAGATGAAATTGTTTTATGATGATTATGATAAGAAAGAGATGAAATGTTGTTTTTATATAACTATGCATGCTTGATTAAAATTGAGTGACTGAATCAAAATGCCGATTGCTTGTCGCAATTATGTTAGCCCTTAGCGTGTCATGGTTAAAATCCAACTAGCATATTATTCATGGGTATTGCACTTATGCTTTTTATTTGTAAGCATTGTATTCACGCTTGTTATTTGTAGGTCTTGTACCTGTGCTTGTTTCAAGGCTTCCAATCATGCTTGTTTTGTGGCTTCTAGCCACACTTGATTTGTTGTTTACTCTCGTGGAATGTATCTACGCTTGATTGGTTATTTACTTTTATGAACTGTATGTCCATCCTTGATTGGTTTACCCTCATGGATTGTGTGCTCATGCTGGTTTAGTTATTTGTCTTCGTGGATTGTGTGTTCATGCTTGTTTGGTTATTTGCCTTCATGGATTGTGTGTCTACGCTTGTTACCTGTTCTAATCAAGTCCTGCAAAAGGATGAGTTTTGAAATTGATTGCCTTTAAATTGATTTCATGAAACAAGTAGTTGATTCTAATCATGTAGGGATTTCATATAATGAGTTACATAACCTTTAATTGTTTCAAGTGGATTTTGTAGTTTAAAAATGGAACTTAACTGCTTTTTCATCATTACTTGAACGTATATATGGTCATGTACTTATATGGGATAGTTTGATATATGAGATATGTGCTCTTGATATTTCTAAGTGGTTATCTTTACTAAATTCATAAATTGTCTTATTAATATTCTTTTATTTTATTTTAATTAACTTTAAAATTGGGATTTCATTCACTGAAAAAATATTCTTGGCCTCATATATTATAGATGAACTTGGATCTCGAGTTGATCATTGAGAGGCTTTATTGCTGAATTGAAGTGGAAGAATTATATTATTTTGGACAAATCTCAACTTAATGTAAATTTAAGTCTTGTATTATTTTTATAGTCTGTCCTATGTGCTCTACATAGGCACAGGTAGGGTCCTTGTCTTCTCTAGTAATGTTGTAAATCTGTTGGTAAGGAGCGGAGCTTCTTTTGTTGGATTGTTTGTTGTCCTTTGCTGTTGTAAAACATGTATATACTACAATAATTAAGACTTATTTGTTGTTCGATCTTCCCCCTTCCTTTTTTGGGTCTTATCTGTTGGAGTCCAAAGCTGATTTAAATCTATTGATTAAAAAGCTTGTAATATGTATTTTACTATAATGTTTCTGGTTGTTGTTGAAGGAAGAAGGTCATAGTTCTGTTTTACTCATTTTAAGTTCAAACCTTCTTGATAAATTGAAGTTGGGGAGCTTTGTTTTCTTAAGTGATGCTAAGAAGTTGTTTGACAAGTAAATTTAAAACTTTGAAATTCACTTAATGATCTAGTAATGGAATGATGATTATCTGTATAGTTATCGTTGTTGTTATTATCACTACTACTACTACTATAGAAAGCCAATTTACATCAGTTATTCAAAGTCTAACATGTTCATTATTGTTTATATGTTTATGATTTGAGGACGTTATTTACTAGAAAATATTTTGACATTTAGATTATAGAAGTGGACTTGCTCCTCCAATAGACTCTTGAAAAGCTCATATTAAGACAAGAAGTTTTTTTGCTATCCTTTTGTATCATGTGGATTAATGTAAATATTCAAAGTTACTTTTGTATAGACTATAGGCAGATGCCTTTCTTCTTTTGTATTTTGATTATTTACACACACACACACACACACACACACACACACACACACACTATGTCTATGTTTTTAGCCATTCCCAAGCCCAAATAAAGGAGGAGGGTTGTGTTAGGGCCTCGACAGCCGAATTTCACATGGATATGAGAACATATATATATATATATATATTCTGTTATGGGGTAGAGCTCCTGTATGCTGCACCGAGCTATTTGGGCTGCTATAAAATTTTCGGGAAGTTCAACTTATAGAGAGATTTTGCTAAAACTTATATGAGCTTTATTTTGTCATGAGAATTTATGCTCTCCATATATATATATATCATGACTAGGGAAAGAAAATCAAGAGATCTAGAACAGGTAAGGTGTATTAAGGATGAAGAGGGAAGAATTTTAGTTATAGATGATGAAATTAAAAATAGATGGGAGACTTATTTTTCTAAACTTTTCAATTATGGAGAGGATTCATCTAGTAACTTGGAGGATTTAGTAACTGGTGAAAGAGAACAAAATTTGTCATTATATCGAATAATACGTGATAAGGAGGTAAAGGAAGCTCTTAAGAAAATGGCAAATGGTAGAGCCAACGGACCTGATTGTATATCTATCGAAGCGTGGAAATGTTTAGGTGAAGAAGGGGTGAGATGGTTAACTAAGTTATTTAATGTGATTTTACGGTCCAAGAAAATGCCTGATGAGTGGAGGAGAAGTATATTAATTCCTATTTATAAAAATAAAGGAGATATTCAGAATTGTACTAACTATAGAGGGATTAAACTCATGAGCCATACAATGAAATTGTGGGAGAAAGTAATTGAGCACAGGTTGAGATTGGAGACAAGTATTTCTGAGAATCAATTTGGTTTTATGCCAGGTAGATCAACTACAGAGGCGATTTATCTACTGAGGGGATTAATGGAAAAGTATCGTTGTAAAAATAAAGATCTACACATGGTTTTTATTGATTTAGAAAAAGCTTATGACCGTATACCAAGAGAAGTGCTTTGGAAAGCGTTGGAAAAAAAGGGAGTACGGATTGCTTATATTAAAGCCATACAAGATATGTATGAGGGGGTAAAAACTAGTATAAGAACGCCTAGTGGTCAAACAAAGGATTTTCCTATAAAAATTGGACTACATCAAGGATCATCTCTGAGTCTTTATTTGTTCAACTTGATTTTAAATGTTTTGACAGAACATATTCAAGAGGAAATCCCGAAATGTATGCTCTTCGCGGATGATATAGTTCTTATAGCAGAGACAAGAGAAGAGGTTAATTGCAAACTTGAGTTATGGAGGAGGATATTGGAGTCGAAAGGTTTTCGTCTGAGTAGAAGTAAGACGGAATATTTATATTGTAAACTTGGTAAAGGACTATTCGAAAATAATTTGGAAGTGAAATTGGGAGATCAAATTATACCTTAAGTGGAAAAGTTTAGATATTTGGGAGCCATTATTCAAAATGATGGCGAAATCAGTGGAGATATTTCACATAGAATTCAAGCTGGGTGGTTTAATTGGAGAAAAGCTAAAGGAGTTATTTGTGATGTAAGGTGCCTAATAGACTTGAAGGAAAGTTTTATCGCACTGCTATCAGACCGGCAATGTTATATAGTAGTGAATGCTGGGCTCTAACGGGACAGCAAGAGCATAAAGTTGGAGTAGCAGAGATGAGAATGTTATATGGATGTGCGGACATACACGTAAAGATAAAATTCGAAATGAGCACATACGCGAAAAAGTGAGGGTGGCACCTATTGAGGAAAAAATGGTAGAAAATCGGTTGAGATGGTTTGGGCATGTACAAAGAAGACCAAGGGAGGCACCAGTGAGAAGAGTGGCACATATAACTTTGAGTCCGATTAAGAGAGGTAGAGGAAGGCCTAAGAGAACACTTTGGAAGTTGTTGAACACGATCTCTTAATTAATAATATTCCTAAAAGCTTGATAAATGATAGAGTACAATGGCGTCTTGCAATCCATGTAGCCGACCCCACCTAGTGGGATAAAGGCTTGTTGTTGTTGTTGTTGTTGATATCAGGAATGTTCATATGATCATTAAGTTAGGTGTTTCCTCTTGTTTTAAGGCTTAAGGGATGTGGCTTTCCATATTCCAGCTGATCACACCTATGATTTTTGGGGTGTGACAAGCATGTTCTCCATATCTCTATTAAACTCTCTAATTTGCTTAACTCTTATAATTTCAATTAACTAATGATCCTCTCATTGGTTTAGAAGTAGAACATTCTCAATAGCTGATTACATGGATAAGGAGCAAACCCCCAAAATTACCAGAAGAACAACCAGATCCGTGGCTACGGCATCTAGTTCAGATAATGTCATGACTGAAGTAACTAATTTTGGTCTTCCACCAGCAATAAATCATGTCATAGTTGAAGGAGATCCAGAAGTGGATAAGGAGGAAACCCTACAAATTCCCAGAAGAACAACCAGATCTTTAGCTTTGGCATCTAATTCAGATAATGTTGCTATGAAAGTAACTGACATTGACCCTCCTACCATAAATGACCTTTTAGTTGGAGGAGATCCCATTAGTTTGGATGATTTAATATCTACTTTTCCTGGTAGGTGTAACCAGATTCTTGAGCTTGTGCGTCTTTTGGGACCTTTGAATTCACCGATATTGCCTTTATTTGTGTATGGTGGTCCTTCTACTGGAAAAACCAGTATCATTCTTCAATTATTTGGGCATCTCAACAGGCCTCTTGTTTATTCAAGCTGTAGGACATGCTATAATCAGCGGATCTTGTTTGAATCTATTTTGAATTCATTGGTTCTTCACAGAAAAAGTGCTTCCAATGGTTATTCAAATGCAAAACGATGTGAAAGACCATCCGACTTTGTCAATTTTCTTAGGGAAGCATTGGTCAATGTGATAAATAATTTGAAGGCAAATTCAGAGAAATTGAGATCGAATAAGATGGCAGCAAGGGGAACTGGGAATATGATTTACTTGGTATTTGACAATTTTCATCTTGTTAGGGAGTGGGATAAGAGTTCTACTATATTACCCTTCCTGTTTAATCTTTATGATCTGCTAAACTTGCCAGAGGTAGGCTTGATTTTTATCAGCAGCACCTCCCCTGATTCCTATTATACTAATATGGGTTATGTGGAACCTGTCCCCGTCTTCTTTCCTGATTATACAGAGTCTGATCTTCGTAAAATATTTTTGAGAAACCAAGCAAACCAAAAGTTGTACTCTTCATTTCTGGAGTAAGACGCCTTTCCCTGTACAAGTTATGAATTACTTTTTGCCTTACATAACTTGATATAAAGACCTGTTTCTTTTTGTACAGTGTAGTTTTGAGGCCTTTCTGTAGAATTACAAGACAGGTGGATGAATTGTTTACTGCCTTCAAGTCACTATTTGAAAAATATTGCGAACCTTTGAGTGATCATGGTGTTATTCCAAGTGAAGACATGAAGAGAAGGTTATTCAGCCATCTCAAGCCTCATATTGGTACCTATTTGAATGAAATATTTAAGGTTTCATCTCTTCCTTCACTTGAAGTTGAGACCCATAAAGAGACCAAACAGAAGGGGAATCCCAAGAAATTGGAGCGATCTGACGGAACTGCAGAGCTGGAATTTCACATGTCGATTTGTGCTAAATATCTCCTTATTTCTGCATTTCTTGCATCCAGAAACCCTGCAACCCTTGATGACTCACTTTTTGATTCGACTGGTGGATCAAACAGTCGAAAGCATAAGAGGAAGTAAGTTGACTGTTAAATATTTAATTTGTGTACTGACAACAAATAGGATGATTATGAGGCTCCGAAGGATTTAGTAAATATCCATATGAATTTTTATGTGAATCAGTACTCAGGTTACAGATTTTAATATCTATTTCATGTCTAGTTTTGGACTGAATTTTATGTTATCATGAAGCCCTATCCAGTTTCTAAATTTATTTTTTCTTTTCCTGATCATCTTTATAAATTTTATGATTATGATTCTAACTATCATCTGATTGGACTTTTTATTTCTGTTGTCATTGACGTTGAGAATTAGTTCTCTTTCTAGAGTACATTTTGCTTTTGTTTTATCACAGCACCGACTAAGGAGTGAGGACTGCATGTTTATTTTTGTTATCTGAGATAAGCTTCTTTCATGCATAGGACCTCTACGAAAGTGCAGGAACAGAAACAAAGTGCAGAAGAGGAACTATTAATGAAAGGACCTGGAACTTTTCCACTAGAGAGGTTGTTAGCCATCTTCCAATGTATTGTGTCAGTTGCAGAAGATCCATCTGACGAAGAGGGACAAAGGAATGATGGATTAGGAATCCAAGGTTGCAATGGTGGGCTAATGTCCGATGTTCTGTTCCAACTATCCACACTCTGCAATGCTAATTTTATTGTTAGAGGAGGAAGCTGTCCGATTGAAGGCTCTACTCGGTATCGATCTACTATATCTGAAGACCTGGCTTTGAAGGTTGCCTATTCCACCAAATTCTTGTTTCTTGCTTCTGTTAGACTCAACTATTTAATAAAAATTAAAGAATCAGGCCCTTTGAATCTCGCCTTAATTTTGTAAATGTTGTGCAGGTTGCGAGGAGCCTCAAATTCCCGCTGTCCAAGTATTTGTATAGAAGATAATTTTCTTAAGCATGTTCCTCCGTAAGCATTGGCCATCTAATGTTTCTCGTTAACCATTAAAATGAATTTAGAATACAAGGTATCATTTTACTATGGAAAAAGTGTAGATACTGTGATCTCTATTTATCATCAGGAAGCTCGAAATCTAAGCAATGTAATTGAGCGGACATCTCTTGCAGTCATGTACGGTCTATGAAATGTTGAGGGAATCAGAATTAGGACGTATTTGAGCATCTGAGTTAGTTGGGATTTGCTTGTTGCTTGTTTAATGTAGAGTTTTTGACTGTTGCTTCAAAGGAATTTGTAACTTTGCTGACTGTATTCGGAGCAAATCTCAAGATCTTGTTGCTCTTAGCCAAATTTAGGTATGTGATATGGCACAGAATTGACTTGATCTTCCTCTATAGACTATTATGTTCTGAGAAACCTCCTCTCTCGCATGATGTGATGTCCTTTAACGCAATAGAGTTGGTGTTGACGACTCAGATTGCTTCCTAGTAGGTTCAGAAAGGTAGTATATTTTTTTTCCAGGTACAAATGAAACCTTTCAATCTTTCATATTTCTTGCTTTGTAATTGTATGAGGTGGCGTGATGATGTGTACTATTTAAGCATAGGGTCCTTAGAAGTTAGATCTATCACTAATCGAGTGCCAAAAATGCAGCGTCCTGTGAATTCCCACGGAGGGCCCATGTGTTTTGCTGGAATGTCCAAGTGAGTTGCATTTGCAATACATCATATGATGCTGTAAAAAAGATAGGGAAATGAAATATATGTAAATAAATAAAATGGATTATATAATACTATTTTATTCCACGCGCCTGCGGCATCACATTATTACATTGCTTTTGCAAAGGATCCGAACTTGTCTTTTTTTTGCACTGATTTCTTATTCCATCAAAGTGCTACAAGTCATGGAACAAAATTAGCATAAAAAGTTCAAGTTGTACTAGTAAGAAACTGGGATTTGAAGTCCAATAAATATGCGTTAGCAAGGTTTTTACGGACTGTGGAGTGAATTGGAGTTGACGGAAAGGTATGCAAAGAAGTGACAGAAAACTCCAAATTAGGTTTCGTCGCCAATGGGACGGAATGAATTTATAGCAACTGTCCCAACTACGCTTCATCAAGTTTCACCTAATAAGTTGCCCTTACCGTTCAATATAATTCATTTCTCAGTACACGCCACCCCAATAATTCATTTCTTATCCTTTCGTTGACTTTTGCTTTTGATCTCGGTGACAGTCATCATTCCTATGATTTGTGTTTTTATCTTGAATCTTCCCCAGTTTACTTACCCCAAATTCATTAATCTTTTGTTTACACCAACCAAGTCCTCGAGTCAGGTTCCTATGACTTTAGGGACACAGCATACACCGGCCAGTATTACGTAGGAATGTCTTGGGAATGTGCATAAAATCTTTTTTTTTAAAGAAATTATAAAAGCAAATCACAACCCATATTTCTTGAAAAAAATAGCTTAGCTGGATAAGTTTCTCGTGCCCTGTACATGTTAATCGCCTATAAATGACATAACATCTATCACTTTCACATTATTATATTACCGTACTTTTAATATGATGCTTTAAATTTATCACTAATTTAAAATTAAAATATCACTGTATTTTTCTCGAGGAGACTTTAGTTTAGCTTGCATGGAAACGCCAGGCACTTTAAAAAATGTGTCCCTTTGTTACGGTGTCTGTTTGGATTTTAAATTTGATTGTAGATGTTATTTCTTCTCCCACTGCGCGAGGGTCAAAATTGACTTTCTTGTCCCCCATTTTTTTTTTAAGAGTATACAGACACCGTATTCAAGTGTTGGTGATATATATTTTCTCTACTTTTATTTATAATGGACTTTTTAAAAATAATTTTTGATTTAAAATATAGAACATTTTGTAATAGTTAAATCATTTTTTTCAATTTTATTCCTTTTTGATTAACGTGAAGATATTTAATATAGTTGTATTATTATTTAAAATTAAAAGTAAAAATTAAAGTGCATTTTACTTTTTTATAATATCAAGAAAAAATTAATTTTTCTTAATATGTGTAGAATGATCGAAAGTGTCCTATACTGAAAGGAGTGTGTGTGTATTAAATACTGGGTGTATATTTTTCTGGTTATATATTTTTTTAAGAAACAAATAACTTATTTTCAAGGATTGCATGGCAAATGATTCTAGGTACTACTATTATTTTAAAACCTTAGAGATCATGCTATAAGTCACATTAATTTAGCGGCGTATTAAGATGAAAGTAGCGAGAGTTTGGAGCACTGACTGGCTTTTATATAGAAAAGTGTAGGCCCCCGGGGGTATGGGGTATGTGAAATGTGAAATGTGAAAAGTAAAAGCAAAATTAAAAGAGGGTTGGATATAGAGGTGAAAAATAGGCAAGCCCTTAAAGGTTCAAGATTAAGCCTGTAAGTTCTGCTCTAAAAAAATTAAAATAAAATTATGTACTATAAATTGATTAAAATATTATGAAATTTTAAAAAAATTCTTATAATCTTTTAAAAATTAAACATCACACTTTTAAAACTCTAATAATAAAATTTAAATTTTGGTTAAAAAATAGTTTATTTTTTTATAAATACACAAATATAATAATTATAGAAAAAAATATATCAGAATATTTTAATTTTTTTCCTTGATCCTACAACCATTATATTATTATTAATTTTAATTAAATAAATTAAAATATATTATATTAAATTAATTTTAATATAATTTAATAAATATCGGTATGTAATATAATAACTAAAATATTTTGAAATTAAAAAAATTAAATTCCTTATAATCTTTTAGAAATTAAATAAGACATATTTAAAAGTGTAATAATAAAATTTAAATCTTGTTTAAAAAACAGTTCTTTTTTTATAAATACACAAATATAATAATTATAAAAAATAAAAAATATCAAAATTTTTATACTGTACACTAATGCTTATTAAATTATATTAACTTAATTTTAGAATAAATTAAAATTAATAATAATATAATGTGTATAGGATCAAGCAGATGAGTAGATCTTTTTTGGTTTCAAACACGTGTTACATCAAAAAAAAATTAATAATAATATAATTGATCTTGAAGGGCAACTCGGACTCAAACTCTTTTTCATAAAGCTTATTAAAGTTAGGCCCTCAAGCTTAATTATTAAAAAAATTAATTTGTAACACCTAAACTCTTATTTAAATAAAACTTTTAGGCTTGACTTTTCAAACTCAACCCTTATTCCTACTTTAATTGGATATGGGACAGGAGAAAAAGAAGGAAAGAACCAGGTGGGAGGGCAACGAGAAGAGACGTGTGAATTGGGAAGGCATGGAATTGAATTAACATAGTCGCCGTCACTGTCGTGAATGTTTTCATTTTCAAGCGATCAGCCTCAGGGCTCACTGCATCTTTGTCTCCCGCATTCACTCCTTTGACTTTCCTTTTCTTCATTTTTTTGATTTCTTTACAAAAAAAAATTTGAGCTGAGTTGTGTCTCTAGAATCATCACTAGAATCAAAGTATATTTATATATTCAAAGAGCATTTGCAAATTACTTATCAATAAAATTGATCCATCAATTGCGGTATTTAATCAAATAATTTTATAAATTATGAGTTAAATCCTTATCAACAAGGTCAACCTTTATTAATATTATGAAAAAAATCATAATTATACATTTTATAAAAAATTAATATCAAATCAAGATATTATCATATAACTTGAATTTTTCAATTTAGTACTAATATATTCCTATGTTACAGCAGTAATGTTTTTATAAGAAATTAATTTGTTTGAACTAAAATATAATTTTTTTCCCCAACCCAAATATTTGGGTTAAAAATGGTAATTTTGGCCCAAATCCACTTGAGTCTTCTAAAAGAAAGGTGATTGTTCGATAAATGACAAAGACTCGAGGAAATTATGAAAAAAACTACACCTAGTGGCTCTAAAAAGGGGCATGGAACTATGAAAAAATTGTCACTTTGTGCCTATAAAAAGGAAGTCACTATACACATATGAACCTCTTCAACACTATACACACATCTTTACACAATCTCTTTGAACATTTCAACAATTCAACCCTAAAATTTACTTATTCAATGCAAAAACCTTAACTCTGTATCATCCTTTACTTCATTTAATATGATTTTCTTTTCCTTCAGTAGATTCAAAACAACATAGTTGGCGTGCCACACATTCAACAAAGAGCCTTAAATTTCTCCAACAATCAATAGAGCACCAACTCCTAACATAATAGCAGTAATAGTGTGTTAGTGCTTTTTCTTTGAGTTTTTCATCTTATATTTTGATGTAATTTTCTTTTATCATTATCAATATTATGATTACTCTCACATACAAGTCTAGCATATTTTTCAATATTTATTCTTTCATTCCCTTTATTTTTAAGTACTTGTATTTGAAAAAATTATGGTAAAAGATCTTGAAAATTTATTGTTTGATTTTAAAAGTCAGGAACATTGTACCTTTTAAGGACAAGCTCCTTTGGCATGCTCGCACAAAAGATATTGGAAACAATTTTGGCATATTCGGTAGGACCCATGCATGTGCACTAATGGCATTATTGCGAGTTAAATATTTTGAATACAATGATGATTTCTCTAAACCTAATGACTTAGAGGATTATCTTGAGTATTGGACTCCCTAAGAGCAAATGATCTGGAAACCATAATACTTAGAGATCAACTTATAGATACATCCCATGGAGATCCAACGATTTGAGCTCTAATAGAGCCATGGATCGATGTAGCTATAGAAACAGTGACCTAGGCTATGCAAGAGCCAGTAATTTAGGAACTGTAATACCTAAAAAAAGATGCTCTAAAAGACTCATGGAACAATGCATCCCTGGAATCAGTGACCTAGGCACCTTAAGAGCCAACGATCTGGAAACTAGAATACCCAGAGATTGATGCTTTGGTAGAATCATAGATCAATGCACCCATAGAATTAGTGACTTAGGCTCTCTAAAAGCCATTGACCTAGGAATTAGAATATTAAGAGAATGTTGCTTTGGCTATCCGCACTTTAGGGATCTGTGCTTTAGAGATCAACACTCCATAAGAATCATGGATCCAACCAAAATGGAATCATGTCCTTGTAGAATTGGCATGGAACTATATCCTTGAATTATAAAATAATGATGAAAATGATACCAGATCTTAGGATCTGAAATGTGATATTGTAGCCATAATATACCAGCCAACTCCCTTGAATAAGGTGAATAGAGCTTTAAGGTGCATGCTAACTTTTTAGTTACACATTGAAACCATGAATAGATATTAAGAAGTTTGCAACGTAACATGAAACATAAAGCAATGATCCAATATGCTCTAAGATGATTCATCATAGCTATAGATTAGTATCATAAATGTTCTGAGTGAGAGATGAAATATAGAGATGA